TTATTGCTCTCTACAACTACCTGAAAGGAGGTTGTAGCGAGGTGGGGGTTGGTCTCTTTTCCCAAGTAACAAGTGATAAGATGACAGGACATGGCCTCAGGTTGCACCAGGATAGGTTTAGGTTGAATATTAGGAAAAACTTCGTCACCAAAAGGGTAGTCAGGCATTGGACCAGGCTGCCCAGGGAAGTGGTTGAGTCTCCATCCCTGGAGGTATTTAAAAGACGTGTATCTGTGGTGCTTAGAGACATGGTGGACTTGGCAGTGCTAGGTTAATGGTTGGACTTGATGTTAAAGATCTTTTCCAACTTAAATGATTCTGTGATTCCAAGTTTAGTAAATTTGCCAAAGCAGTAATGTCTGTTGTCTGATGTATAACAACATGTCTATTGAATTAGCTTCACAGATATTTTTAGTAATTTTTGCAGAGTCTTTTCATTGATGTATTTTAACTGTTACAATAACCTTTTTTTTCTGATGTCTTTTATTGCACAGCTTGGATTTCACTAGACAGCAAGCTTTTCTGAAGCTGAAAATTGTGATGTAAAAAAATGTGGATGTGGATTCAAATTTTCAGATTTATAATCCTTTCATAAAAAATGAAAAATAAAAATTTAGGAATATTTCTATTTTCAATTTAAAAATTTATTTTTCCCATAGTGCTAAAATGTAGAAATATAAAGAGAGATGAGAAAAAATATGGGCTGAAAGAGTAAATGAGAAGAAACCTGTACTGAGGAGAAATTTGAAAAACTATATAAAAAATAGTTTTGACAAAGATTTGAATTTTAAAACTTACGCCCTGCTGGTGTAGCCTAGGTTCTTTGGTGGTTTCTAGTCAAATTCTGGAGCACCGCAGTGAAAAGCAGAAGTGCCAGCAGTGCCTCTGTACATCTACAAGAGACCAGAGTAACCTGCAGGAATCCATAGTGGAAGAAGAAATTGAATTCTATAAAGGATTTTAATCACCACATGATCCACGGATTTTCCACAAAGTCAGGCTAGTCCTACACCGTTATCTGTGACCCCAGATGAATTAAGCTTGTGTTCCAGTTAAGTAGGAAATTTCAACATCTCCCTTCATGGTAAAACTTATGTGATTACGCTTACGTGTATGTTCATGTAAGTACAAAAATTTCTACATGATATGTTTTTTAATTAGAATTTAATCATACAGAAGATAAATCAAATAAGCACCGTGCAAAGCTGATAATAGAATGTGGTACGGCTATGGTCATGTTTGGGTTTTTCCATCGTAAAATGCATTTTGTGTTTCCACTTATCAAAGCTAATGTGAAGGGTGACTGCAGTGCTCCAGCTCCCTCAGCCCCACCAACATTTCTGGTGGCCTTTCTGTGTTGGCTGTGAGAGCAAGGCTGCCTGGGGGCCTACAGTGTAGCACCACAACCTGCAAAGTGATTACGTGCTGTCCAGAGCAGTATAGTTACCTTTCCAAATGTTTAGCTCTTCAGTTTCTGTAGGCATTGAATATATCTATTCTGGCACAACTGATGCAACAAGAGATTCAGTGCTTTGCAATTGCCATTTTCCCCTCACCATCCTTTTTTTCCCCTGCACATCATTGA